TTCCTTCCTTCCTTCCTTCCTTCCTTCCTTCCTTCCTTCCTTCCTTCCTTCCTTCCTTCCTTCCTTCCTCCCTTCCCTTCCCTCCCTCCCTCCCTCCCTCCCCCCTTCCTTCCTTCCTTCTGTCTCTCTCTCTTTCTTTCTTTTTTTTTTTCAGGCAGAGTCTTGCTCGGTTGCCCAGGCTGGAGTGCAGTGGCGTGATCTTGGCTCACTGCAACCTCCGCCTCCTGGGTCTCAGTCCAAGCGATTCTCCTGCCTCAGTCTCCTGAGTAGCTGGGATTACAGGCGCGTGCCACCACGCCCGGGTAATTTTTGTATTTTTAGTAGAGACAGGGTTTCACCATGTTGGTCAGGCTGGTGTTGAATTCCTGACCTCGTGATCTGTCCTCCTCAGCTTCCCAAAGTGCTGGGATTACAGGCAGGAGCCACCGCACCCAGACCAGGCCCAGCACTGTTTTAACAAGCCCCTCAGGCATTCTGATGCTCACTAATGTCTGAGAACCATTGTGATAGAGTGATGCTGGGAAGAAGCAAGACCGAACTGAAGAGAACTGGCCTGTAAGGTACGGTGGATGAGCAGAGAAAGCTTAGGAAGAACCATGTGTCGGCTGAGGCGGCACCAATCGTGTGCAGGCTGAGGTCAAAAGTGAGGGACTGAAAAGATGGTGTGAGCTCAGTGATGTCTGAGCTTAAAGATGCCTGGAAGATGGTGTGAGCTCAGTGTAGCTTCTGGTTAACTACCTGGTGAGGCAGGAGCACCCAGAGGGGACAAGCCCTCGGGACAGCTTCCTGACCCCTTTAGGAGAATTCTTGGGGTCTCAATGAATGAGACTTGCTCCCTTCTCCTTGATCTGCTGCCAGGGGCTGGAAAATCTCACTCAGGCCAGACACTGCAGTGGTCAGGACACATGTCCTGAGACCCTCAGGATCACCTACTGACCAAGTCCTCTAAAATGCTCAGCCTGTTCCTTCCAGAACTTTACCAGCTGGCCAATGCCTGCTTGGTCTGGATTTGTGACTGTGAGCCCTCAGGATGGGTGTGTGTGAGAGAGAGATATTCCAGTTTGCTAAGTTGATGCAAAACCCCTACTGATCGCAGTCCTGTGCTTCTGAGCCGTTTATGACAGCAGCTTCCATTTGCAAAGCCCAGCTACCATATAGGCGCCACACACCTTAACCAGAATCCACACAATGGCTCATAGACAGCGTCAGTCCACTCCTTTTCTTGGAGAAAGAAACTGGGGCCAGAAAAGGTAAGCGTTCAAGCCACACAGCAGCCAAGGAAGGCTTGGAACTCAAGTGTGCCCCCACCCTCCCCACAGTCAGAGTTCTTAACCACCCAGCTCTCCTGGCCCTCCCACTACAGAACACTGCTCCAAGTGCGATGCCAGGAGCTGGCATAGTGAACCCCTCCCTGTGCCACACGTGGCAGAAGGACGCCCACAAGCACCTCAGCTCAGGTCAGGGCACGAAGCCCAGACTAGAGGAGGGCAAACCCACCTCCCTGCTCCTGCTAGGCCTTCTCCATGTCCTTGTCCCACAGGGGACTAGGGTACTGCCTTCATGGGGTGGAGGTGTGGAGGATGCTGGAGGGGCTCTTGGAGCTGCAAAGGGGCGATTTTGTTGGAAGGGAGATAAAGAAAAACATCAAAAGGAGCCCTAGTGTGTGTGGAGAGGAGCCTGTGGATTAAATTATCCTCCAGCTGAGAGAGGTGATGAGAAGGCTGATAGCGCCCACTGCGGGTCCGGGAGCCGAGCCATCACAGGCTGGGGAGCTGGCAGCTGCCCGCGGGGAGGCCGAGGCGACAGCTT